CAAAACTGTGGTAATCTTACAAAAGTGACTGTTTATCCTGACAGACCGTTAAATGGTCTTACAACATTCGTATCCTGTGCTATATAAACAAAATGAAATGTTTTTTTTGAAACACAAATGACTATTTTGGTATTTTATTGTCAAAATATGATCAGGAGAGAACAGAGCACATTATGAAATAAGATTTTCAGTTATTTGTCAGAATTTCAGTCGTTAATTCAATTGTATTCTTTGTTGTGAGTCGACGTGGCACTTCATAGCATTTCACTTCACAGTTCGGCTTGACTTGGAGATAATTTGTCGCAGTGTCCATTCTCAAAGACTGTCTGTATTCTGTGTTTCTTTCTCACATGAGAAAATGTATGCATACCTGTCAACTCATACGGTTTAGCCATAGTTCATACGGATTTTGTGGTGAATCTTACGCATACGGCCGTATCGCACAAATCATATGGATTCTGAAAATTTCCGTTTTTTTTTTTTTTTTTTTTTTTTTTTTTTTTTTTTTTTTTTTTTTTTTTTTTTTTTTTTCTGAAAATTTCCGTTTTTTTTTTTTGTTTGTTTTTTTTTTCCCCTAACAGGTAGTTCCGTTTGCTTTTGCCCAGAATGGTGCTAGTCTACTCGGATGCTTTCATTTCCGGTAAGTTTCCAGTAAATCATGTGGTTCCTAGTTGAAAACAGCAGAGTATTCATTGCATACTTCGATAGTGTACAAGCAAGTAGAATGATGATTAGACATTAAGCAGACATTGTATTATGGAGATCTACAATAAATATCATTGAAAATTTCGTGGGTTTTTTTCTGCCGTTATTTTGACATATAAAATGCTTTGGTATGTTATAAGGATTTTTTGCTCTTTATAAGGATTTTTTTTGGTAGTTTATACAGGTTGGCGCTCCGAAAAGTTGACAGGTATGTGCATGTTCACTGTCTGCATTGCATGCGGTCGATATGTACCATATTTTCCGAACTGTAAGGCACACCTAAAAGCATTCGATGTTTTCAAAAGCTGACAGCCGATGCGCCTATAACGTAAAGAGCCTGTAACTCTCTTCATATTCCCCATTGAGTTGTTTCCCTGTTAGTGTTCCTATGCCATCTAGTGGTGATTAATAGCAGGAGCAGGAACGTAAAAGGTTTCTGCCTGACACTGATTTACAAGTGCATTCGCCAACACACACTCAAACAGACAACTACTTTGTGAGCTCTGCGCAGCCATTATGAAACGAAGGTAATACCACAAGCATAGTTAACTACTGACCAAACCAGTGTTTTTCAAACACTGTGCCGGCACATGCCAGGTATGCCATCTGAAATTATCCAATTTGTATGCCTGTGCAGTCTATCGTCTGGCAGAGTAATCATGTGCTCCTCTTCCATACCGGCAGGTAGTAGCAGCAGCGAGCTAATTGCCTTGTGCTTCGAGACAAGCGAATTAGTGACGCATGGATGCAGGATGACGGTGAAAGTGATGGATATGTTTTTGAAGAGGAAAAATGCTGAACCTGAACTGGACCCAGGACAAAATCCGGACCCAGTAGAAGATCCTAGTACAGTGTTTTTAAATCTTTTTCGAGCCAAGGCACAATTCTCTCATTGAAAATAATCCTGCGTCACACCGCTCGTTGAAAATGTAAAAAAAAAAAAAAAAAAGATTACTTAAACAATTAAAGTGTTATATTGTTATAAGGGCTCTCTCGTTTACCTTTGCAGTTTTTCTCATGCACATTGCTTGTTTCTCTGTATGTTTACGCAGGCGAACAAAATACTCCATAATTCTGTTTCGAAGTGAAGGGTGTTTTGTTTGGAGATGGTGTTTAATCTTACTTGGGACCACGGTGCTCTTGGAGAGCTTTTCACCAAAGACCAAGCACAACGGCGTCGGTGCCATTGCATCTCCGGTAAAAGTAAATCAAAACAAAGATAGCTTTCGCCAAATTGCCTTGCACTAGAAACTTTGCTTTGTTGGGCGTCTTTGCTTTCTTTTGACCTCCACTCATACTCTGACAGTGTTTTTCAAACCCAGTGTGCCACAAGACATTGCCAGGTGTACCGTGGGAAAATATCCAATTTGTATGCCTGTGCGGTCTATCGCCCAGAAAGTAATCGTACTGCTCCCATACCGCTAGGGAGCAGCAACAGCGAGCTAATTGCCTTGTGTTTCGACCACTAGAGACAAGCGAATTTGTGCCGCATGAATGCAGGACGACAGTGAAACAAATATGAAAGATTATAAAATACTCTTTTCTTTGTTTTTCATTTGATTCCAATTCAAGCTGTTATAACGTCATTCTTCAATGTTAAAAACGGTGATCGTAACAATATAGCACGTTAATTCTTAAAATAAGCGTGTTTTTTTCACATTTTTAGCGAATGGTGTGCCGCAAGATTTTTTCAATGAAAGAAGTGTGCCTTGGCTCAAAAAAGTTTGAAAAATACTGGGTTATTGAATAGACGGTCCTGAAAACCTGGACTCATCCCCACTCACCCATTGTAATATGCTTATATTTATATTTAATATTTATTTCAAAGACCCCTTATGATGAACAAAATTAATGGATCTAAGTTTCTCTTGCCCGGACGCGGGTCACCGGGACTCCCCTCTGGAGCCAGGCTTGGAGGTGGGGCTCGTTGGCAGGCGCCTGGTGGCCGGGCCTACACCCATGGGGCCCGGCTGGGCTCAGCCCGAAGAAGCAATGTGGGTCCCTCTTCTCATGGGCTCACCACCCATGGGAGGGGCCAAAGGGGTCGGGTGCAGTGTGAGCTGGGTGGCAGCAAAAGGCTGGGACCATGGCGATCCGATCCTTGGCTGCAGAAGCTAGCTTTAGGGACGTGGAATGTCACCTCTCTTGCAGGGAAGGTGCCCGAGCTGGTGTGTGAGGTTGAGAAGTTCCCATTGGATATAGTCGGACTTGCTTCCACACACAGCCTGGGTTCTGGAAGCAGTTCTCTCGAGAGGGGTTGGATTCTCTTCCACTCTAGAGTTGCCCACGGTGAGAGGCGTAGGGCAGGTGTGGGCATACTCATTGCCCCCCGGCTCAGTGCCTGTACATTGGGGTTCACACCGATAGACGAGAGGGTTGCCTCCCTCCGCCTTCGGGTGGGGGGACGGGTCCTGACTGTTGTTTGTGCATATGCACTGAACAGCAGCTCAGCGTACCCACCCTTTTTGGACTCCTTGGAGGGTGTGCTGGAGAGTACTTCTGCTGGGGATTTCCTTGTTCTGCTGGGGGACTTCAATGCTCAGGTGGGCAATGACAGTGAGAACTGGAAGGGTGTGATTGGGAGGAACGGCCCGAGTTGTGTTTTGTTATTGGACTTCTGGACTCATCACGGATTGTCCATAATGAACACCTTGTTCAAACAAAAGGGTGTCCATGTGTGCACTTGGCACCAGGACACCCGGCCACAATTCGATGATCAATTTTATGGTTGTGTCATCTAACTTGTGGCTGCATGTTTTGGACACTGTTTTGGACACTCGGGTGAAGAGAGGGGGGGGGCTGTCAACTGATCACCACCTGGTGGTGAGTAGGCTTCGATGGTGGGGGAAGATGCCGGTCCGTCCTGGCAGACCCAAACGTATTGTGAGGGTTTGTTGGGAGCGTCTGGCGGAATTCCCTGTCAGAAGGAGTTTCAACTCCCACCTCCGGGAGAGCTTTTCCCATGTCCCGAGGGAGGCAGGGGACATTGAGTCAGAACAGACCATGTTCCATGTCTCTGTTGTTGAGGTGGCCAATCTGAGTTGTGGCCGTAAGGTGGTTGGTGCCTGTCGTGGCGGCAACCCCCGTACTCGCTGGTGGACACCAGCAGTAAGGGATGCTGTCAAGCTGAAGAAGGAGTCCTATCGGGCCTTTATGGCCTGTGGGACCCCAGAAGCAGCTGATGGGTATCAACTGGCTAAGCGGAACGCAGCTTCAGTGGACGCCGAGGCAAAAACTGGGGCCTGGGAAGAGTTTTTTCCAATCAGCCTGCCATGCACGTTTGTGGAATGTGGGAGGAAAGGAAAGTACCCAGAGAAAATCCATGCAGGCCAGGGGAGAACATGCAAACTCCACACAGAAAGGCCGGAGCCGGGATCGAACCCATGGCCTCTGCACTGTGAGGTCAATGCACTAACCACTGGCCCACCGGGCCGCAATGAAGAAGTCAAGTATGCTCTTTGCACAAGCCGTGACCATGATTCAATTCTCCAATATTTATTCAAAAGTACAGTGATATAATAAGAGGAAGGTACCAACCTCTGGGTAGGGTGAAGGTCCACTGTAAGAAAGAAAGGAACACTGTTAAATTAGAACATTGATCATTCATCAATCACATCCATACAGCTAATACAGATAAGATAAGATAACCTTTATTTGTCCCACACTGGGGAAATTTGCAAGAGTGGTAAAGCTGTCGGGTGTAACTTATGATGATGATTTTTGTTTTGTTCACTCATGTCGGGTTTGACAACGCCCGCTTCTGTCGGCTCCCATGTAAAAAAAATACTCTCCCTCGAATCCCAAAACATCACTCATCATTGTAGCGCATGGAAATTAGACAGTAGCTTTATGTTGTAGCGTGCTGGTTGCTACTGAAACATCGCGTGGAGTAACTCTAGTGGTGGGTACAGTAACCACACCGACAACGCCGCAAGCTTTCAGTCTGTTCAGAAACACTCAGAATGAGAAATTAAAATATTTTTAATTGAACTGTGGTTGACGACTTGCAGGAAGTGACCCGTATGTATGACAAAACATATTACCAATGAGAATATGAATTTTCAGAGACTCTGAAAAAAAAAAAGACTCTGAAAAAAAATTCTTTGGAATCTGACCTTGAAGACACACGTTTCATAATTTCACATGCTAAGGTCAGTAACCTCTACCTGACCCCATAGGTGACTTCCCAGAGTCCAGTATTAAAAATGTGTTTCTCATATTATGGTATAATATGATGGAGATCTTAACCTCAAGCTGACCCCAGAGGTCAAACTCAGAATGCCTCCACATCTGAAATTAAAGCTTTGGCCAAAATGAACAAAATGTAAAACATTTTAATATCATTTTTTTCCCTGAAAGTAAGAGCTTAACAGTGCCACTGCTATGCTTAGCGCCCCCAAACATCCTCACTTCAGATTGCTAGCGCGGTCGCTTTAGAATGCTTCATTGTCAGTCGCGCATGTGTAACCGATTACAGTGCACTATTTACAACGCAGAGGAATAACGCACCGGTTAGACCTGTTCCTCAAAGAAAGGCAAGAGAGCGATCAAATAGATTTTTTTTTTTTTTTACATGTCTGTATGCCTCTGAATGTTCTCATTTTCCAGGACATTTCATTCTCAGTGCATTTAGTGTTCATTGTTCTGGTTGTCTAAGAGGATGCATCGCTTCTCATCCGAAATGGTTTCATCTGTTCATATAACAAGGTTTGGTTCGGATTGCACAAGCCTCCAATTATTTAAGCTGCATTTGGAAGCATGTCCCAAACCATCAATGGTATTTATTATTCCTTTGGAATGCAAAACTACACTTGATGAGATGCCTTTCAGAAGCCTCCGTCTGTCAACAAGACTCGAGGAAATTGACGGGCTTCTCATTTTTCAAAGGCCAAGGTCAGACAAACTGGGAAAGGGCTTCGATGGGCCATTACTGAGAGTCTTGTTGCGGCCTCAAAAGTGCTGCGATTACCCGGTGGGATAGCCGCAGGAGGCCTAAATATATTTAGATGCTTGATGAAGTATCATCCATTCCATTGTAAGATTTGATTCCCTGTTGATTGTTCAGTAAGGCGTGGTTGCACATGTTTCACAATTTTGAAGGCTCATTCATATGTTCTTCTAAATTATTTCAATTCCCCTTACAGAGTCTTTAAGTCAACTTCTGGGCATGTCCCAATCCAGTCACGTGATTGGAAATCGGGGTCGATCATGTGATTTTCAACTGATCCGGTATCAGGTGAAAAAGATCAATTTTATTCATTTTTGGAACATTTAAAGATCAGAAAAGCAACAAAATAATCCAAATGCGCAAATATCTTGCCAAACATCAACACAACAGCTTAGTTTTAATTGGCACAATGTTATATTTCTGTTTACTTTTATTTTGTAGCAGTGAAGTTAGTGACACTAATCGAGCTGAAGGCACACCCACACAGACAGACAGATATGTTTCTCACAACCCCCGCCGACACCCCAACCAATCCTCCTGCAGGCAGCGGCAGAGTGGCGGGTTTGACTCCTAGTCGGTCTCCTCGCTAAATGGCATCTTCATTAAGAGAGCGACAGACATGTATCACAAGTGAATTTTTTTTTTTTTTTTTGGTGGGAAGCAAACTTGTTCCACATTGGTGCATGTTACGAGGTCGTAAATCATTGTCGTTTAATAATGCGACAAGTGACGCAGGTACCCAACAACTACATTAGCTAATGTGAACTCTTAATTTTTAGTCTACACAAGTCTATCAATTACAATATCAATGCATTGTTCAACATTGAACAGATCAAATGTACTCTAAAAGAGAATGCCTTCATTCGCTGTTCAAGCTTTGATGGGTCATTCCACTAAATTGCTGCCATTTGCGTCTCCAGACACTTACATGAAAATAAATTTTTAAGAAGCGTCCTCCACATTGATATGTATGTTTTTCGGTATCAGGACTTCGAATCCAGACAGAAGCTTACTTTTTTTTTTTTTTTTTTAGTCTCCCAGTACTGTCACACAACTTTCAACAGTGAGCGACTGGCTGAAACATCAGTCCAAAGATTTTTACGCTGAGCGAATATGGAAGCTTGTGCGCAGATGTGAAAAGTATGTGACAGTGCTGGGAGCCTACGATGAAAGATAAAAAATAAGTAAGCTTTTATCTGTGTTAGAAGTCCTCATATGGAAAAAAAAAATCACCTTATTTATCGAATGACCCTCGTATTCGGTTCAAAAGTTGACACTCAATGAGCGTAAATGCCATGGCTGCAGTTCCTGTATTCCATCGTTTCAATGCTAAAAACGCACAAAGATTTTCAGTCCAAAAGCAATGAACGTCTGAGATGGACCAATACTCAACAATAAACTAGACTGGTCTACCAACACGCACGCTCTGATCAGGATGGGGCAAAGCCGGCTCCTCCTGTTCAGAAAACTGAGGTCTTTTGGAGTTCAGGGGTCACTCCTTAAGACCTTCAATGACTCTGTGTTGGCCTCAGCCATTCATTATGGCATAGCCTACTGGTCAGGCAGCATCTCAGCCGGGACAGAGAGAGACTGCACCGACCGGTCGGGAGGGCCAGCTCTGTCCTGGGCTGCTCCCTGGACACTCTGGAGGAGGTGGGCAACAGGAGAATGCTAGCTGAGCTCACAGCTATGATGGACAGTCCCTCTCATCCCCTCCAGGCCACCCTGACAGCACTGGGTAGCTCCTTCAGCCAGAGACTGATACACCCTCGCTGCAAGAACGAGAAGTACCGCTGCTCGTTCCTGCCGACTGCTGTCAGGCTATAGAATAGACCAGGGGTCAGCAACCCAAAATGTTGAAAGAGCCATATTGGACAAAAAAACCCAAAAAACAAATATGTCTGGAGCCGCAAAAAAATAAAAGCCTTCTATAAACCTGACAATGAAGGAAACACATGCTGTATGTATGTAGGAGACTGGACTGTCTCAGAATTGTTTATGTTATTCATTCCTTTGTTGTGTGTTCACAAACGCCCCCATAGAATTTATTTTGTAATTTCCTCGCTTGATTTTTTTGTTTTGTTGGACTGTTTTCGCTTTTCTTAGTGTCAGTGAAGTGATCATTAATTTCCATTTTTCTGAGGCTGTCTTTGAACGCCTCTCGAGTTGAACGAGAAGAGAGAAGGCACGGAGTCGGACGCAGGCGTGTCTGTGTTAGTCAAGACTGTTAAAAGCATAAATAAAGTGTACGTTTTAAAAAACCAACACCATAGCTCTCCTTTTTCGGAGCTGCAACATGTATCTATATCTATTTGAGCTATATTAACCTACTATCAAATCTTTTTCCATTTTCAAATGGAGCTTTTTTATAAAGCATTAGACAGACCTGACCTGAAAACCTGGACTCACCCCACTCACCCATTCTGAATATGCTTAGATTTATATTTACTTATATATTTGTTGTTCTTCTACTTCTTCTACCTTTCATAATTTTTGCCGCTGTAAATTGGGAATTTCTCCATTGTGAGACAAATAGAGGTTTTCTTATCATATGTTAATACACATTTGGAGTTGCCATCAAATTTAGTGCCTGAAAAAAAGAAAGGAAAACATGTCAAACTCTGGGTTCATTTGAGAGTCTTTATCTCATGCACTGGCTGGTGGAATGGTCCAGATACTGTATATAATCCCGGACCGCTGCACTGTGAGGCGGACATGCAAACCAGCTGACTACAGTGCCGCCACCCCCTATCTATCTATCTATCTATCTATCTATCTATCTATC